ATAAGGGCACCCTTTTTGAGGTTGGTTACTCTACCTTGAACCAAAAAAGGGCAAGGGTACCACTGGGCTACCAAGATTAGGGCCCAACTATATGCTGCATATGTACGTTGGGCCCGGAGGGTGGGCACAGTGACTGAGGCAGAGAATTATGACGGCTTAGGGTGTACGGGTTAGAAGGTTTAGGGCTTGGGGTTTAGCGTTTAGGGTTTTGGAATTAGGGTTTCGGGATTTTGGGGGACATGGAGCAATCTCAAAATTCAGCCTGATCCATGGCTTGGTCGTGTGTGGTTTGGGGCCGCATTTTTGAAGAATGCAAGTCTTCAAAGAGTTTTAGAGTTTTAGAGCTTTTGGGGGGCTTAGGAGTTCAGGGCTCAGGAAATGTCTAAGACAGCAGCCTTCCGCTTAAACAGGGCGTCTAGCCCGCACTGGTGCCTCTAAACCCTGAGCCCTCTTGTTGGCACCCCTCTCCCGACCAGCCCGAACCGTGGGAGTTTTGGGGTTTGCGGCCTGATTCGAGGCTTTGGGGATCGAGGGTCCGGGGTTTGGGTCTGCAGCCCAGCCCTATACACATCCTCTGTGATCTTCTCGCCTTGCGCGCGGCTGACGTCGACGCCGGCGCGGAGCAGCAAGAGAGTCGCATACACGCAGCCTGCGCCCAGAAATCTGACGGAGGGGCAGCCCGATAATCACTCTAGGTCTGCAACACTGCAGGTGCGGAATTTGGCACCAGCGACACCCCACGTCCTTCTTCACTAAACCCCAAACCCGAATATAACCCAAACCTCAATAGTCCTGCACCATCTGGGTGCAGGGGCGGTCTGCAAACGGGCATGGACAAAGTGGACAACGCGGCACTCTCAACCTTACTCGGGTTCGGTTTGGGGCGATTAAACACCAAACGCCTGCATCCCAACCCTACAAGCTAAGCAAGAACAACAACAACCCAATCCCCGGAGCCAAAAACCCTAAACCCTAAGAGCCAAAAGGCCACCCCTGATCGCGTCATCCCGCCCCTAAACCCTAAACCCTAAACCCTAAACCCTAAACCCTAAACCCTAAACCCTAAACCCTAAACCCTAAACCCTAAACCCCGCCTGCAAGGCTCAGCAAGAGAAGGAATGCGACATCTGTGCACCCGCTGCTGGCCACTCTTCGCATCGAGGGTCGCCATCGCGAGAGGCCAGGAATGTTCCCCTTCTAGGACAGCCTTAGGGTTTAGGGTTTAGGGTTTAGGGTTTAGGGTTTAGGGTTTAGGGTTGCGTCAGTTCACTTCATTCTATGTCACCTCGCTGCTGGTTTTCAAATTTTGCCTATACCTACCAACGACCCGAACCAAACCCCTGCAAGGACCTTGGGGGAGGATAGCCACTAAACCCTAAACGCTAAACCCTAAACCCTAAACCCTAAATGAATAAAGTGAACGAAATGCCCAAGAACCAGTGAGCCGTTCACCCACATCATCAGTTCTATCTTCAGGAATCTAGCTCTTGTATCTAATGCTTCGTGACACAGGATACTAATTCTTGGTGCTGGAGCTCGCTTATTCCTGGTGCTCACGGGCAATAAGATAAGACGTGAGTCAGCGAACCAGGATGGCACGGTTAATACTGTTCATGCGTGATGAATCCAGTCCACCAGTATTAATACAATGTGATAGGGTCTCAGAAGTTGGTTAATGGTGTACACGTCACATCCGCAGGCTCACCCGTTATCCAGGTGCGGCAGCTAAGCGCTGGCATCAGCAGCATCATGACACCCACGCTTCAGCACAGACGAGCAGGTGAGGCAGCGAAGCCCCGGCATCAGCAGCATCATGACGCCCACCCTTCAGCACAGACGAGGCAGCGAAGCCCCGGCATCAGCAAGGGGGGAACAGCCATGAAAGTAACAGTAAAACCATGTAAGCTTCCCCTTAGGGTTTGGGGTTTGGGGTTGAGGGTTTAGGGGAGCTTGGCACGCCTAAGCAACTCTTAAGCAAGATGTTCTTCCACGCGCACGGCTCTGGTGTTGGCGCTCACTGCTTTGCAGGGACGATCTCCGCGCTTGCCTATGCACATGAGCTCAGGCTTTTCTTGCCACTGCGAACCTCTACCGGCTCTTTCCTAAACCCTTAACCCTAAACCTTATGAACCCTGAACCTTACAAAGCCTAAACCCTAAACCCCTAAACCCCTAAACCCTAAACCCTAAACCCTAAACCCTAAACCCTAAACCCTAAACCCTAAACCCCAAACCCCAAACCCTAACCCTATCTACTGGCTCTTTTGAACAAAAAGAAAACTTTCAGGATCCCTAGCCGACCTCAAGCCCTAAAGCCTCAACTCGGTACAGGGTTCAGGGTTGAAGAAGGCTTGTACTTGGAGGTTTAGGGTTTAGGTTTTAGGGTTCAGGGTTCAGGGTTTGCGGTTCAGGGTTTAGGGGTACTTATTAACCAATTATAACTGTACTTATAACCCACTTATTAGCCGCTTAAGTGCTCTAATATGGTTGTAAGTACAGTTATAAGTACAGTTATACTTGGTTTATAAGTACCATGAACCTTCAAGTAGGGTGGCAAGATATGGGGGTTTACGATATTAGGTACCTTTTTACAAGGAGATCCTACTATTTGGGGCTCGAGATATTACAGTCCCTAGAACGGTGAGAAGTGCTCCTTTGTTGCTTCTTCGGAAGAGCAAGAATCCGCTGACCTACCCCACGTCAGCTGATCTGTGCTGAACCCAAAAACTTCTGAAACCCATGCAGATTTCAGTCCCAACAGCTTTAACCCTGAACCCAAATCAGCCGCGGAAATCCATAAAGAACCCTAATCCCTAAACCCTAAACCCTAAACCCTAAACCCTAAACCCTGAAATCTCCGCAAGGTCTTCCCCTCATCAACTCTGGGTCCTCAAACCTTCATCCCTTGGACACTTCCAAAACCCCTCAGCCAGAGCGGTTTAGGGTTTAGGGTTTAGGGTTTAGGGTTTAGGGTTTAGGGTTTAGGGTTTAGGGTTTAGGGTTTAGGGTTTAGGTTAAACTACATCCTACCCTGAAAGCCGGACCAAGCCCAAATAGAGCAGCCGGCCTCACGCAAGCACGGGCTCACGGCTTGGAGCAGCCTCTACTTGGAGGTTCATGGTACTTAAAAACCCATGATAACTGTACTTATAACCACTTATAAGCGCCTTAAGTGCCCTAATATGGTGATAAGTACAGCTATAAGTACAGTCATCATACTTGGTTTAGAAGTTCCATGAACCTCCAAGTATGGGTTTCAACATTTCTTCATGGCCATTTGTTTCAGGGCCTTAGGTCCACACTTAGGCCTCTAGGTTGTAGGGCTTAGGGGATTAGGGTTTAGGGGGATGTTCAGCCGTATACTATAGTACCCCCTAGTATAATCCCTAAACCCTAAACCCTAAACCCTAAACCCTAAACCCTAAACCCTAAACCCTAAACCCTAAACCCTAAACCCTAAACCCTAAACCCTAAACCCTAAACCCTAACCCCTAAACACATCACAAAAGGCACAACGCAAAGGCAAGCTTGCGAAGCGTACCAGTGGCGTTCTAGGGTCGAAGTGGGAGCTTCGGCTTTTGATTCTTTTGGGGAGAGGGTTTAGGGTTTAGGGTTTAGGGTTTCGGGTCTAGGGTCTGGGGATTAGGGTTTAAGGTTTAGGGTTCAGGCGTGGGGGTGTAGAATCGCGACCGGTGCTTCAGCTTAGAGAACCCACGCGAGGGTGAAACCCTAACCCTAAACCCTAAACCCTAAACCCTACACCCTAAACCCTAAACCCTAAACCCTAAACCCAAGCAATGACAGTGGGAACAGAGGAAAGTATGGAGGGCCCCAATCGAGAGCACCTTGGGTTGAGGATGGAGGGTTCACTACACTTTCCTTCGAAACCTAATCCGGTTTAGGGTTTAGGGTTTAGGGTTCAGGGTTTAGTGTTTAGAGTTTAGGGTGCCAATGAATATGTGTAAGGCCAGCAAAAATCAAACATCAACCCTACGGAAACTATAGTTCAGGGCATCGCGCTTAGCGGGGGTATCTTCCCAGAAACGAAACCACTAGGTATGGCCTCGCGCGCTGGCTCGACTGGTTTCGCCTCATAGGAAGGCTCTGGACAGGCTCGGACAGTGCAGGCTCAAGTATCGGGGGAGGGCTTAGGACTCAACAGTTTAGATTTTTTAGGTTGTAGGGTTTAGGTTTAGGGCTCAACCGAATTTGAAGGGTTTAGCGAGGTCACTTCTACGAAGTTAAGTTCGCGATTGGAACCAAGCTTTGGGTCTACTTTCGTGTGGGTCTCACGTAGGTTGTGAAATACGAAGGTTTAGTTTCGTTGAGGATTGGAATTTCGTGATGTTTGTATTGGTAGGAACCTTAAACCCTAAACCCTAAACCCTAAACCCTAAACCCTAAACCCTAAACCCCAGGTTGGACCCCTGCGCAGGTTCGAGTGAGCCCTCCAAGGGCAAGGAGAACGGTTCATTCTTGCAACCCATTTCTGATGTGAGTTTTTGGTTCTCTCTTGGTTTAGGGTTTAGGGTTTAGGGTTTAGGGTTTAGGGTTTAGGGTTTAGGGTTTAGGGTTTAGGGTTTAGGGTTTAGGGTTTAGGGTTGAAAAGGACGCAAGAGGACAGCCCCTTTCCGCCCACCCGCACACCTCCCGTCACCCAACCCCCAAACATACCAGCCCAGGAAAACCCTAAATCCTAAACCCCCCCAAACCCTAAACCCCAAACCCCAAACCCTAAACCCTAAACCCCAGACGATGCCTTTGTTTTATTCTCAGATTGCGCCGGGGAGGGGGGGTGTGGGAGCCCCCCCCCTCCCCTATTAATCAGATCCTCGGATTAACGGGGGCCTTTACCAAAACGTGAACCGACCTCGTGGGCTATTTTGGGGACCGGTTACATATATGTATATAATATATATATATATATATATATATATATACATATATATATATATAATATGTATGTATAACTCTAGATCACGAATACATACAGATCGCGCTTTAAGGCTTGCAGGTGGCACTCACATCGCCCAGTGTGACAAGCGGATTCGCACGGCAGACCGAGGCCAACAACTGCCCGTCAGGCAAGACAACTCGTAGACTCCTGAGGTTGACTCTCAACTCACGTGCAATGTACGCTTGCGCATCAAAGGCCGGCTCGGACTCAAGCGCCTTCCAGCGTAAGACTTCGTGCCCGGCCATGCCAGAACATATCAGCGCAACTACGCCGTCATGAGCATCAAAAACTAGTTGACAAACAAAGTCCATGCCTCGTACCGGGTGTACCGCATGGTCGCAGACATACCGGATCCCCGGCTCTGGAGCAGGAATCCTGCATTGTTTGTAGTGGTTCTTCCCGCAAGCTACAGCAACACCATCACTTCGGACAAGCACGGTATGAGTCACCCCTGCAGAAACTTGTGTGTAGACCACTCCGTCGTCGTTCAACGCTGGAATGTTGCACTGCTTGGATTCATTGCGTCCGCAAGCTACTGCTTTCCCATCACTTCGAAGAAGCACAGTGTGATCTCCTGCAGAGACCTGGGTATATGACACTCCCTCATCCAGAGGGGGAATGTCACATTGTCCATCATGATTGCATCCACAAGCAACGGCGCAACCATCGCTTCGAAGCAGAACTGTGTGATTCTTGCCTGCAGAGACCTGGGTGTATGACATTCCCTCATCCAAATCGGGAATGTTGCATTCGCCATGATGGTTAAACCTGCTAAGCGCAACAGCCCGGCCGTCGTTTCGAAGAAGCACAATATGATTATAGCCTGCATCCACTTGGGTGTACCAAAATCCCTCATCCAATGGCAAAATCTTGGACGTTTGCCTTCCACAGGACACAGCATTGCCGTCATTTCGAAGAAGGACTGTCTGAACATGACCTGCACAAACCTGGGTGTACGACATCCCCTCATCCAGCGTAGGAATGTCGCATTGTTCATGGCTATTTCTTCCGCAAGCAACAGCAGAACCATCACTTCGGAGAAGAACGGTATGCAGCCAGCCCGCGGCAACCTGAGTGTACGAAAGTCCTTCATCCAAAGGGGGAATCACGCATTGGCCAGCTTTTACCATCCCCCAAGCCACGGCGTTGCCATCACTCCGGAGAAGAACGGTGTGAAGCCCTCCGGCAGCAGCCATAGCAAACGACTTTCTTTACGAAAATGGCGGGTCTCTCCTCTCTCTACAACTAGGGACCCCGACTATACACCCCCAAACCCTAAGCTTCAAGCCCTCTAAACCCTATCACGAACCCCTGAACCCCTAAACCCTAAACCCTAAACCCTAAACCCTACACCCTATAGCCCTCAACCCTATAGCTCTCAACCCCGAGATCAAGGCTGTGGAGAGAAAGCCGTACCATGCTCGAAGCTCTGGCAGAAAGTGGCAGCTTCGATCTACTGAAATCTACTGGCATGGTCTGAGGGTTTAGGGTTTAGGGTTTCGGGTTTCGGGTTTAGGGTTTAGGGGATATCTACTGTTCTGGACGATTGTAGAGGCTTCGGGTTTAGGGTTTAGGGTTTAGGGTCTAGGGTTTATATACGGTTTAGGGTATAGGGTTTAGGGTTTAGAAAAGATCAGGCCCGCGGGGCGGGCTCAAACCCTGCACCCTGGGTACAGGTTGGGATGTTCCCCCTCATGCTAACCGTCCATAATAGGGAGTATAGTACCTCTATGAGACCCCCTAGTAAGGACTTAGAGAACAAGGGGGAACATCCCAATGTACAGGTATAAGGTTTCTACAGGGTCTAGGGTTCAGAGTTTATATCTTAGTAGGGCCTGGGGGCATGGGTATAGGGACGATGAGGACTGCTATAAGGATCCGTGCCGCCCATTCCCCACTAAGATCCAGTAAGTCAAATCTACTGTTTATATAACATAGTACAAATACAGACCTAGACCATATTATACATGTTGCTTATTCTTTTTCATACTTGTTTTCACATTTTGTTTTCTAAACGGAACTCTACTCGCCCGGTCTACTCCTCGCCCGTGACCTGTATCCCACTCCAGAGTATCCCCTGAGAGCCCTTGAAGTGCCCACCCCCAGAGTACATATCTTCAGAGACTAAACCCTAACCCTATACCCTAAACGCTAATCCCTAAACCCTAAACGTCCCTGGAGTGCTTAACCCCCAGGAATTGCCTGGAGTGCCCAACCCCAAGTATTCTCAATGATTCCTGGAGTGCCTAATCCCAGACTATGAGAGTGCCTACAGTGCACAACCCCATAGTAGTTGCAGAGAGTCCCCCAACCGTGATGCCCAACCCAAAGTATCCAGTGCCAACAGAGATTATCAGCGAGTTTCTGGACTGCTCAACCCCAGAGTAAGCTTTGTTTCAGACTCCTGAAGGTCAGGAAGGGTAAACCCTGCAAACAATTAAGTTGAGGCCTAAACCCTAAAGAGTAGGTTACAGTTAGGGTGGTTTTGCCGCCTGACATGGCGTGGGGTAGGATAAGAATGTTAGGTGGCCCTCCACACTCGGGCCATACGTGCCCTTCGCACCTGCCGAAGCCTTCGAGCCTATTCTGCATCCTAACCTTCACAGCAATTGCGCCAAACTACCCTAAACCCTAAACCCTAAACCCTAAACCCTAAACCCTAAACACCCTCAACCCTCAACCCCATAATCCATAAGACTCATGGGCCGAGGGGCGGCAGGGACCGAAGGGGCCTCGCTGGGTTCCTCTGCCTTCGGCGCCTCGGCCTTCGGGGGGGGGGGGGGGGGGGGGGGGGGGGGGGGGGTTTAGGGTTTAGGGTTAGGGTTAGGGTTTAGGGTTTTTGGGTTTGGGGTTTGGGGTTTGGGGTTTAGGGTTTCGGGTTTCGGGTTTAGGGCTATGGTTTGGGGGGGTTCCCCACGGAACACGCCCAGACAGGTACACATGCACACATGCATGCCTGCATGCATATTTGATAGACAAGCAGACAGACAATGAGGCTTACAGCAGGGTACAAAGCACTACATATGCGCATATACCATATATATATATATATACATCTATGTATAGAGAGAGAGACAGAGAAACAAAAACAAAAACATCGGTCATCTTCGTGCTCTTACGGGCTCAGGCTTTCAGATTCCGAGATCTGCATCGACGCCACTTGGCTCTGCACATGCTCCCCCCCCGTCCACCCAAAACGCCCTAAAGTTCCAAACCCGGAGCCCTACCACCCTGAACCCTAAACCCTAAACCCCAAACCCCAAAACCCAACAGCTAAACCTTCCTACCTCTTCTCTAACCCTCCACCGAACGCCCCAAACCCTACACCCTCATCAAGATCCTGAAGATGAAGCTAGCAAACTCTGCTGCGCACGGTTTAGGGTTTAGGGTTTAGGGTTTAGGGCTTTAGGGCTTAGGGTTAGGTTTAGGGTTTGGGTTTAGGGTTTAGGGTTTAGGGTTTAGGTTTAGGGTTTAGGGTTTAGGGTTAGGGTTTAGGGTTCAGAAGGCCTGCTGGGTTGGCTCTTCGGCCGTCTTCGCAGCTTCCTGTTTCAGATTGCTTGGGGGTTACCGAAATTTAGGGGTATTCTTTTGGGGGTTGCCCTACATCAAGGATTAGACGGATCTTTCGAATTAGCACAGGGAAAAGCAACAACAAATTCTGCAACCTAATCACAAGATTCCTAAACCTCTAAACCCGAGAGGCCACAAACCCTCGAGCACCATAGCCCCAGTCACGGACCTCCGAAAGCCCTGAGCGTGATCAACGAACCTATCAGCTTTTGAAGCCCAGCAGCAATACTATAATAAATAGTAGAGGTATCCTTTCTTGGGTTGGTTACTCTAAAGGGCAACCCAGAAGCAAAAACAGGGGCAAAAGGGTAGCACCGGGCTCCCCAGAAGCCCATAAGCCCGACACCTTCAAGGAAGGCGTGTCTAGAACTAGATCCCGGAGCAACTTAGGTGTGAATAAGGGGTTTAGGGTTTAGGGCTTAGGGCTTAGGGTTTATGCGCCCCCCCCCCCCCCCTCCCCCCCGCAAAAAAGGGGGCAATTAGGGCCAATGGGCGGTCTTAGAACCCAGGTTGGCCCAGCAAAACTTTCCGAACAATTTAGGGTTTAGGGTTTAAGGTTTCGGGTTTAGGTTTCAGGGTTAGAAAAAGTAAAGCATTGAACTTAAAAAAATCAAGTGGCCCCAAGGAGCAACAGAACAGCTTGCACCCGGAACCCTAAGCCCGGAACTGGAACCTCTGAACCCTCTGAGCCCTAGACTCTAAACCCTAAACCCTCAGCCCCTAAGCCCCAAACCCAAAAATCCCTAAACACCCTAAACCCTAAAATCCTAAAATCCAAAACCCTCAACCCCATATACCCTGAACCCTATGAACCCTAAACCCTGTAAGCCCTAAACCCTAAACCCTAAACCCGAAACCCTAAACCCTAAACCCTAAACCTAGGGGTAGCAAACCTAAGGCTCCAGAGCCTGCGCATCAGGCACGGCGCTGGCGCTCTGCAGCTTGTCTAGGGCAGCTTCTTCCTTCGTTCTGCTCTGAGGTAGGGTTTGGGGTTTGGGGTTTGGGGTTTGGGGTTTAGGGTTTAGGGGTTTGGGGGTTTAGGGGTTTAGGGGTTTAGGGGTTTAGGGGTTTAGGGGTTTAGGGGTTTAGGGGTTTAGGGGTCTAGGGCTCAATTGAAGGCCCATGGGTAGCTACAACAGTGAGGCTTCATTCGCCCTCAGAGGTCAGATATAGAGCTTCCCTACTTGCGACCTGACACCCATGAACTTTGCAGATGGGTTCAGATGAGTCCGGAGTGTGCGCTAGGGGACGTCGAGCTTTGGTGTGCTTAGGGGTTAAACCCTAAACCCTAAACCCTAAACCCTGAACCCTAAACCCGAAACCCTAAACGAGAGGAACCGCGACGGATGGCTGAGGATGCAAGGGGAAAAGTTGTGCCATGGTCGGGTTGAGGTTGAAGAGTTGGAGGGCTTAGGCCTTGGGTTTAGGGTTTAGGGTTTAGGGTTTAGGGTTTAGGGCTTAGGGCTTAGGGCTTAGTGCTTAGGGTTTCGGGTTTCGGGTTTCTAAACGTCACACATGAATCCCAAAAGTCATGCACGTCTTGGATTTCAGGGTTTATGGTGTTTACGGAGCTCGGGATTTCATGTCGCATTCTCCTTAGCGCGGGCGCCCTCTATTCAGTCAAAGTGCCTCCAAGTGTGTACAGTGGACCTCCCTCTAAGCTCGGCTATGTGGTTGCACGATTTACTCTGCAAGCCAGTAGGCTATCACTGCAAGCCACAGCGCTCTGCATGAATAACTTCTACATACCCTCCCCTAAACAAAAACTCAACCCATAAAGCCTCAACCCTAAACCCACCCATAAACGCTCAACCCGAAACTCCACCCTAAACCCTAAACCCTAAACCCTAAACCCTAAACCCTAAACCCTAGACCCTAAACCCTAAACCCTAAACCCTAAACCCTAAACCCTAAACCCCATGGGGAGCTGGCTTGTAGCCTGGCAAACTCCGCCAGCATCTCCGCGTCCTCTGAAGACGCACCTCCCAGGTTCGGCGACTTAGGACTGAAGGATTAAGGTTTAGGGTTTAGGGTTTAGGGTTTGGGGTTTGGGGTTTGGGGTTTGGGGTTTGGGGTTTAGGGTTTAGGGTTTAGGGCTTGGGTTTTGGGAGTTTAGGGCTTGGATTTTGGGGGTTTGGGGTTTGGGGGTTTGGGGTTTGGGGTTTAGGGTTTAGGGTTTAGGGCTTGGGGGTTTAGGATTTAGGGTTTGGGGTTTGGGGGTTTGGGGGTTTGGGGGTTTAGGGTTTAGGGTTTAGGGTTTAGGGTTTGGGGTTTGGGGTTTGGGGTTTGGGGTTTGGGGTTTGGGGTTTGGGGTTTGGGGCTACGGGGGTTTTGGGGGATTTAGGGGAGCGGGGCTTTGCAGGGTGTACAGGGTTTAGGATTTAGGGCTCGGGGCTTTGGGTTTATAGGGCTTTGGGGTTTTCACGCTGCGGGATTCTTATCGTTTCTCCGGGTAGGCCTAGCCTGGTATGAAGCACTACCCGGAGCCGAGAACAGGCGTCTGAACAGAGGCACTCACACAAGGCCCTAAACCCTAAACCCTAAACCCTAAACCCCAAAAAGAACCTAAACCCCCCAAACATTCAGGGTTGAGGGCTCAGATTTCGAGTCTTGGCTGAACACACCC